TGATAAACAATACTCTTTAATAATGAATCAATTTTTTAAAAAAATTTAATTATAATATATATATATATATATATTAATGCTCACATATATAATGTAATATATTACAAAAATTAATTTTTGATAAAATAAAATTTGCAGCATATATGTTTACCTTTTGTGTTTTCTATTTATTGTATATATTGATAAAAAAAATCAAAAAAAGAAAGGTTGGAAGTTTATGTTCTATTTAAAAAATTTATTATAAAATATGTTTTTAAATAAATTATCATCTAAAAATTTATATCACATATTAAAAACATGTTTATATCAAAAATAAATTAAACTTGATTTTTATAAAATTTAACATATTTTTTTGTATGTTTTTATTAGTGTTATATTATTATAAAGTAGGTCTTTAAGATTGTAGTTTTAACTAAACATTTGAAAAATTCTATGGAAGATAAATATATATATTAATGACATATATTTTTTAAAAAAGTTAAGTTCAAACCTATTAAATTATAATATAACATAATCTGACCTAATTTATTTTTATCCTTAATCGTCATTATAAATATAAACTTGTAAAAAATAATTATAATATATTTATACTTTTAAATATATATATATATATATATAGTCTTGGTAATATTATAAGAGGTTTATTCATTGTATAATATTTAAGTTAATCGTCTGAATTTGAGAATTGACGAATATTTATCGAGTTGAGAGGTTTAATACAAGAATCAATGTCATTAATGCATAGATCGAATTTTATAATATAACACTAATCATTCTAATATTTTAGGATTGAAACTACAGAAAACATGAAACTCAAACTCATAAATGGTAACTCTACTAGAGAATTGTGGTCTTAAAGAAAGATAGATTACACATTTTCAATGTTTCAAATTTAGATTGCAGTCAGGTCTTTTCTAGTACGTCTTCCATAACGAAACATTTTGACACCATGTGGAGTTTTAGAGGAACTCTTCTTGTGACCACTACAACTACGATCTCCGACCTTGTGGTTAAACTTCAACTCCACCACTAGAGGCTTCTTGAATGTAACATGTTTACGTAGTTAACAAACTTGAAATAAAAGATAGTTAAATATCCAATTTAATTTTTCATTTTTCTTAATGTCCGATTTTATTTTACCAGATCATTTATATATAGTTCTAAACTTAAAAAATGCATCGTTATATATAATATATGAATTACTTTTTAATAATTTTGTTTGTCCATAAACTAAGTTAAACATGGCCAATTGATGATGTACACAATGAGATCCTACATTTTTGTATTGGATTTAATTCATATAATGATTATTACTATTGTTTATTTGAATATTATATTATAATTTCATTGCTATTTAAACATATAAGCTAATTTTAAAATATCTAATTTGAAGAATTTGGTGTATTTTTTTAAATATCACTCCTATCACATAAAAATTATTTTCTTATTTAAAAATAGGAAAATAACTTTTGATTGTCTATTCAACCTCCAACAAATTTATTATCTATTTAAAATATAAGGAATGCCTTCAACAAATTTTTTTTTCTAATGTTCAAAGTCTTTTTTAACCACTTTATGTCTCATACTTGTATTTAAATTTATTTTTTGGCAAGTTTTTTGATAATTTGTGTATCTTTTACTCATTTTTTCATTTATTTGCACGAACTTGTCTTTTTATTTAAATATTTCTTCATTCATTTATTTTGTGTATCCACGAGATCATTCTCATGGAAAGGTTATTTTGATAATAATTAAGTTCACGTATATGAAATTTAGATTTTTTAAAACCATATATGCAATATTAATTAATGTTATTCGTGGAGAAGGTTTTCATGTATATTATTTTATATTAAAATTCTTACAAGGCAAAATAATAATTAAACCGTTCATAGTAGAAAAATTAAAGTAGTTGATATGTAGATGATAAAATTTTAGAATTCAAGTTTTGAATGTCAATAAATAGATATGATGTCTGTATGGTGAAAAATAATGGATAAAAATATTTGTTGATTATCTGTTAATCATTATTTTTTTCATCAAAATTATTTATTTTGTGGATTTTGTTAGGTTCACATATTCAAAGATTTATTGAACTTTGATTTTTAACAATTAATTAAAGACAATGAAGACATGTGATTTGAATCAATCATACATCAACATGTGTGGTGTGACCTTAATTGAATATCAAATTTGAAAAATTTAAAAATAATTGTATTATATTAATTTTTGTATATATTTCATAATTTCAGTTATTAGTCAACTATTATGACTATAATTTTTTGTTTGTCTGTTTGATTCATTTCAAATTAAATAACCAAACATGAAGAAGAGATATGTGAAACTTTGACATGATTATACACTATCGATAATTGATTCAGAAAGACATAAGTAAGACTAGCTTGCAACCCATCACCACACACAAAAAATTGACTTGAAAAGACATAAGTAGCACCACCTTGCATATCCAGCTCTAAAATAACTCATGTTTTTGAAATGCTAAATCTGGTACAATTACGCTCATGGAGATGGTTAAGGGTCAGATTCTCTTCTTTCAAGTATAATTTCTTTTCTTGGTCCAATTCTCCTAGTGTCTGCCTCTCTTAATATTGCACATTGGCTGTTAGCATTTTGGGATACGAGAAGTTTGTTGGTTATTAGCTAATTAAGTCGTTCTTTTTGTGAGTTTTTGGGTTGACGTGGATTGGATAACTTTCTTAAGTTATTTTGTAAAAAACTATGTGTATATAGGTTAGAGTACCATTTGTACTCTTGTCAATTCTATTTTGCTTATAAAAAAAAAGCACCACCTTGCATCTGACCACCATGCATAATAAATCGATTTGGAAAGACATGTGTAGGATCGGTTTGCAATAGACTACCATACAAAAAAAAAGACTTGGAAAATGTGAGTAAGGTCGCCTTGCAACCAACCACCACGCACAAAAATCGACTCACAAAGATGTGAGTAGGACCACCTTGCATTTGAACACCATGCACAATAAATCGACTTAAAAAGATGCGAGTATGGCCGTCTTACAACTGACCACCACACACAAAAAATCAACTCGAAAAGACATGAGTAGGATCGCTTTGCAATCAATCACTATGCATAAAAATTAGACTAAAAAGACATGAATAGGATCGACTTGCAACTAACCACCACACAAAAAATCGAATCCAAAAAAAAGTGAGTAAGACTGACTTGCAATCGACTATCATGCACAAAAAATTGACTCAAAAAGACGTGAGTAAGACTGTCTTGCAATCGACCATCATGCATAAAAAATTAACTCAAAAAGACTTGAGTCAAAAAATCAGCTCAAAAAGACGTGAGTAGGATTAACTTACAAATAACTATCACACAAAAAAAATTGACTTAAAAATGCGTGAGTAGGACTGGCTTGCAACTGGCCATCATGCACAAATTAACTAAAAAATACATGAGTAAGAACAGTTTGCAATTAACCACTATGTTCAAAAAAATTGACTCGAAAAGACGTGAGTATGACTTACTTGCCACTAGTCGCCACACACAAAAAATCAATTCAGAAAAAAAAAAGAGTAGGATCAATTTGTGGCCAACCACTATATAGAAAAAAAAAATTGACTTTAAAAGATGTGAGTAAGACCGACTTGTTACTGGCCATCACAAAAAAAAATAAGGATTAAGGCTAGGGGCAAGTGAATCGTTTCGAGATTATTCTAAAAGGCATCGACTAATCGACAAAAAATGAAGAGTTGCCTACAACCTTTATGCACTTGTGTTTTAGGCTGGGGGCAAGTGTATTGGCTTAAAAATATTCCAAGAGGTTTACTCATTAAACAATGTTTGTGTTAGTAGTTTGAGTTTGGGGATTGTGGAATATTTGGCGAGTTGGAAGATTTAATACAAAAATCAACGATATTAAAGCATAAATTGAATTTCATAACATAACACTAATCATTATGAGATTTTAGGACAAAAACTTCAAAAATCATGAAACTCATAAATGGTAACTTTGCTATAAATAGAGACGTCTAGTCATTAAGAAAAACATATTACACATCCTAATATTTTATATTTAGATGACGACTAGGTCTTTTATAGTACATTTTTCCATACTAGAACAATAACAAAGTAGAAGATTATCGGATAAGAATAAAAGACAATCAAACTAAAGTGAAAATTTAATATTTTTATAATTAAATCTTTATTATATATACTAATTTATTTATCAATTTATGTATATATTATATTGACATTTTTTCTATATTATTAATGTTTCTTTTAGTTGCTTTGAAATATATTTTATGAATAATCATTAAATTTAAAGTTTTAATAAATACAATTATTTTTTTTATTATATAATACTTAAAAATTTTTCAAATATCTGATAACTTATACATGTATATATAAATATATATAGTTTAAGATAATTATATTTTATTTAATAATAAATTAATATCATTAAATATCACATTAATGTGAAAGTCAAGTCAATTTTAATTTGAAAGAGATTATACATATAAAAATTTGTATGAAATCACCGAGATTGCCTAATAATAAATAGTTAGAGTAAAATGCACATAATTTATGTTCAAATCTTAATGACATTATTATAATCTTGTTAGATAAAAAAAAAGAAATTTTATAAAATTAATGAAGATCCATAATTAATGAATTAAACAAACAATTCATCCCACAATTAATTAATTATACAAGCAATTTAATAAATAACATATTTTTTAATCTATTTTCCTACATTACTATGTTTTGTATTTTATTTTTTTTATTTTTGTTGTTGTCTATGATCATGATCCACATATTATTTTCAAAGTTAACAACTAATATGTGTTTTCAGAATGTGGCTTCCACGATCATTATAGTAAAAAAATATGATATTTTAGTTTCTATGGATATTATTATTATCCCATTTTTAATCCTTGACATTTATTTTTATAGGGAATGCAATTATAGTAAAAGAAAAAATCTATACAACGATAAAGACAATTTTTTTTTTATAATTTTAGAAACTAAAAATAAATTTATATATATATATATAAACTAAAATAGAAAATTTAAAATTATAAAAATATTTTTTTATGAAACTATATAAATGGTAATTAGTCCATTATTAATTATTAACATGAGTAATGAGTAATTTATTTATTATTTTTTTACAAGCAATTTAATTATTTATTAAATATTTTATTTCGCAGGGATGAAATTTGTTGGATACGTCATGCGTTAACAACCCATGGAAACAAAAGGGCGGTCCAGATCTCATGTCGATTCCAATCCGACCGTCACAATTGTCCGCCTAAAACTCGAGCGTTTCGCGCTTTCAGAAACAAGTATCCGAACTCAAACTTTCTCTTCTGAGCGTTTCGTTCGCAAAGTAAATATCCTCTGAGAAGTGTTTTCCCTGCAATCCGAAAATATACGCTCGTCTTTCTCAATCAATCATCCATCACGCTCTAGGTTTGTTTTTCTCCTCTCTTCTCTCTCTTTCCGCCAAATCTAACGACCTGTTTTCTCTGTTCGTGCGATTCATTTCTTCTTTTTGCAACAAAACTGATCCTATCGGATTTTTTTTTGCAGCGAGAGGTTATTTTTTAACCCTAACAACAAAATGTTTACCCGAAACCGACGCTTCCTGTCCTCTCCCGAGAAGAGGTCTTCCGTTTCGGAAAATTCAAGCAAGAAGAAGGTTACTGCGGTGAAGGATCAGACGGCAAAGAAGCGTCCCGCTCTCGCCGATGTATCCAATAACAGAAGGGCCTCTTTCTCTAAGCCCATGGTACTCTTTAATAATTTTCTCTTACTGGTTCTGTCTAATTTTTTTAATTCGTTTTTGTAACGGTATTCTGAATTTGTGTTCCGTTTGCCTATGTTGTGATTGATGTTGAATCATCGCTGGTTATGTTTGCTCTGTTTATTGGCACTTGTCTTAGTGAGTTTGCATGTGAATTGCATGTATGTGTGTGCATCTTGTGAGAATGGTGTAATGACATGCGTGACGCAGTTTATAGTGAGGTTTATTCTCATTTTTATCAAAAGACTTGGCAATTGGTGTTGTCATCTTTAGAATTTTGTTTTAATGGGCAAGCATGGTTCATGCATACATAGAATTGGGATTGATTTCTATAAAGTTATTATTATTTGAAGGTTCCATGTGTGTCCAAAACTGCCAAGACAAAGAAGGCTGGTTTGCAGAAGAGAGGCACTTTGCAAGCCCCATTGAGTGAAAAATCAAGTCGACTGGTACTTTCCAAAGAGGCACATTCGACCAAAAGTGGTGAATCCAAGGATGGAGTTGAATCCTTCGTTGCCCCATTCATTGATAAAGTGGTTTGTGCTCCGGGGTGGACGGACATTTCTCCAAGTAAATCCTTTGGCGGCTCTGTTTCACAAAGTGAGAGCATGTCAACCAGGGATTCCTTAAGTTTGGAATTTGAATATGATAATGTCATATCCACCAGATCAATTGAGAATAGGACATTTAACATTCTCAATATTTCAGAGTCTTCAAAAATAGCAGGTATTGAAAGGCTGAATCTTATTTGCTCACCTGGCCCTCTGCTTATGCTTTGGCTGATTTAAATCATTCACATACCCTATTCAATAATTACAAGTTACAGACTGGAATACTTGTTTTACCGCTGTTTGCATACCTCCCCCCTTATTTCAGGGAGAATATGTGGTAGTGATATTGATACCATCCCGAAGATAGAAGCAAATGGAGTTGTGGATATTGACTACAGCATCAAGGACCCACAATTCTGTGCATCCATTGTCCATGAAATCTATGAATATTTGCGTGCATCAGAGGTTTGTTATCTTCATCTGTTTTACTGTTTAAATTCCATGTAATTCTCAAGGTGTTTCCTAGCAGAATAGCATGGCAATTATATTAAATGTTTATTATATAATTAAAATTAAAAATAAATTATGTATACTAATGGAGTCAAGGTATTTTATGTTTTTATTAAAGATAAAATAAAAATTTATATTAATCTATATTAATATATATCTTTCTTGGTAACTTTTTTAGTCTCCATCTTTTTGGACCATTATACTCTTTTACGTTAAAAAATTAGAAAAAATATTTTTTAATTAAAATTAAGAATTTGAAACTAATAAATCATTTTTACAATAATTACTTTTGATTTTCATTTTTACATGAATCATTTTATTTTTTATTTATTTTTTAATAACTACTTTTTTATGAGTAACTTCTTATTTTTTTTCTTTTAATTTTTTTAGCACAATGCAGACACGAAATACCTTTTTCTTACTAGTAAAAATAAAATAGATAAAAAATAAAATAGATAAAAGTATGCTGATGTAATTGGTATTATGATTAATTTATTATTTTTAAATTCTTGAATTTGATATAAAAATATTAATTTTTTAATTATATTTAAAATTTGAATAAATGAATATTTTTAAATATATAAATTATATTTTAGATTTTCAATAAATGATTTATGATTTATATTATAATATAAGATTATTTTTATTTATTAATAATTTATTTTAAGGTATTAAAATTTAATTCATAAATAATTATGATAAATAAAAATCAAATTAAATATAAAATTAAAATAAATTCTAAAAACTTTTCCATAAAAAAAAGTCTTTGAAAATGCTTTTGTCCAAAATAAGAGTTGACCAGAAAAATCAATTTTTTCTTGGAATTGAATCAGATTTTGGTTCTTATGTTGGAAAGCAATCCAATTCAAATCAAACTGAACTAGATTGTGTATTCAAGATAACTCAATAATTAGTAATATGGTCAAGAATTCAAAATTTTGTTCAACTAGGAAATTATCATTTATTATATATTTGTTTTTTCAGAAATTTTAAGATAATTTTTAACTTATAATTTGAATTTATATTTTGAATTGGGTTGGTGAGTTATAGGATGTGAAGTTAGATTAATTTACTTTTAATATTTGTAGACGTTTTTCTAAAAAGAAAATAATCCCATTCAAAATGAAATAATTTGGATTCGTTTTGATTTTAAAATCAAACTAATTGAATGGTCAATGAACAAATTAAATGATTGAATTGTATATTTTTTTTCTCAAAAGTCTGATTCGATTCAATCCACAAAGTCACAAACACTAGTTATATTGCAACCTTTGTCAAAATGCGAAAGATGAAAATATCCAATCTCACCCAACCGGTTCAGTAGAAAAAATTGGTGGTGATGATCATTTCCGTAACTATATTTATTACTAAGAAATATTATAACAGTTAAAATAAAGATTGAGATTGAGTTCTCATGCATCCATTACAACTTTCATATTAACTATTTTGAGAAGTACAGGAAATTGATAAAATAAAAGGATGGATACATGATAGGCATAGCTTTGGTTTTAGAAAATCAGAATTTATTATATCAACATTTAGCATTTGCAATACGCATGTTAAATGCTTATTATATAATTATTATAATTATAATTTATAATAAAGTGGAGAAGCTTTGGGAGATATGACACCTGCTTCTGCTAGAGGGATGATTGAAAAAATGGCGACCAACTCACAACAATTCAATATGAGGAGTGATGCCATAGTTGTGAGGGGTGTGCATGATGTGGTAGCCTCAGATTCCACTGAACACAAAAAGCTGGAGAGTAAGATTGATGCTCTCACCACCTTGGTTTCACAACTGGCTGCAAATCAAAAATCAGCTCCACCACCAGCAAGAGTATGTGGCATCTGCACTTCAATT